AAAGAAAGAAAGAAAGAAAGAAAGAAAGAAAGAAAGAAAGAAAGAAAGAAAATAAACTTTAAATGCACTTCTTTTACTCAAAAGAAAAGTCAGATATAGTCTAAACTATCTAGACTCTTAAAAATTGAATTTAAATTGCCTCAAGTATAAGAATATGCGAACTTACAATTAACTGAAGAAGAAAGTAAATGCATTGCTCTCGAACACTGCCAGGTGTCTGTAGAGTCTTATTTGCACAGCAGTTCTTATACACTGCCACCTAGCCAAGGTACTGCTCACAGACAGTGCACAGTTACTGCTCAAACAGAATCCACTTTGGACAGCACCAGAATTACATTAAAATAAAGCATAGTGACGTTGTCAGGAAAAGGGAAAATGCACAATGCACTTGTTTAAATTATATGATTGCTCCTGACTTGTTCCCTGTTTTCTCCTTCTTCTGATATACATCCTCTTTGCCTTTCTGGATATGGATTGAGCATTGCCACAGAGGGCCTCTGAAAGGCTCTGCCCTGCAGACTGTCTAAGCAGATACTGAGACTTATGGGCAACCTTTGGGCAGAGTGCAAGGAATCTTATGAAAGAAGTGGGAAACAGTAAGATCTGGAGAGGACAGGAACTCCACAAGGAGAGCAACAGAACCAAATAATTTCAGCACAGGGGTATTTCGTGAGACTCATACTCCAACAAAGTACCATGCATGGAGATAACCTAAAACCCCTGCACAGATGTAGCCCGTGGCAGTTCAGTGTCCAGGTGGGTTCCATAGTAATGGGAACAGGGACTGTCTCTGACAGAACTGATTGGCCTGCTCTTTAATCACCTCCCCGTGAGGGTGGAGCAGCCTTACCAGGCCACAGAGGAAGCCAATGCAGCCAGTCCTGATGAGACCTGATAGACTAGGATCAGAAGGAAGAAAAAGAAGACCTCTCCTATCAGTGGACTTGGGGAGGGGCATGCGTTGGAGAAGGGGAAGGAAGGAAGGGATTGGGAGAGGAGGAGTAAGGGAACTACAGGAGGGATACAAAGTGAATAAGTGTAATTAATAAAAACTTAAAAAAGAAAAAAATTATATGATTGCTGTTTGCAGAAACACAGAAGCACACGGTGGGCATGTGTGTGTGCATACATGCGTATATTGAGAATCTTTTCTCCAATGTCAGGCATCAAGGAAATGTTATCTACTAAACTCAATGTATGCAGCCTTGACAGCTCCATTAACAGCAAATATTTATTATCATTCTCCAAAATTTAGAGAGGTGTGCTTAATATGTAAGGTATTTGCCACATTTACTGCAGATACCCTGGGTTTGAACCCAGGCATGCCTTTGTGAGAGCATTGGCATAATGAAGATGTCAAATGTTCACACTTTCCATAACCAGAATTTCTGTTGTTCTTTTGTTTATTTGCTTTGCTTTGTTGTTGCAGACACTAGAGACAAGATCTATGCTGTTGACACACACCCTGAAGTTCACAATGTGTATTGATAACTACAGGTGCAATGTTAGTCAATCTTTTTTATATATTAATTACAGTTTATTCACTTTGTATCCAAGCTGTAGCTCCCTACCTCTTCCCCTCCCAATCCGACCTTCCCTCCCTCATCTTCTTCCTGTCCTTTTCCAAGTCCACTGATAAGGGAGGTCTTCCTCCCCTTCCATCTGACCCTAACCTATCAGGTCTCATCGGGACTGGCTTCATTATCTTCCAATATTTATATACACTTTCATAACAGAATGTTCTTTTTTTCTTCTTGTTTCCTGATTATGGTGGCAGATTTTCTAGGTGCCAGAATTCCATGACATGGGTGTTTTATCCTCTGGAAAAACCTGGACAGAGCTTCTTTTCTACATTCCCACTGGATCAGCAAGCAGGCACCACCTCTGGTGAGTTCATGGACCTGTACTTGCTACAAAAATGCTCCACAAGCAGCATCATTGGTGCCAAGGACTACACGTCCACCCAGATGAATATGGCTGAGGCTGACAGGATCACAGGCCAGTTAAATGACCACTTTAAAAGCTATGCTATCTACAAGGCCATTTGCAGGATGGGCGAGTCAGATGATTCTATTCTCTCACTGGCTAAAGCTGATGGAATTGTCTCAAATATTTTTTAAACAGAAGAGATGATGAATATTTTTCATAAATAAAAGTGAGAAAGTATCTCTGTCAAAACAAAGAAAAGAAAGAAAAAAATAGGACAGGATGTGATTTGTTCATTTTTTTATTTTTATAAAATAAAGTATAATAACTCATTTTCCCCTTTTCCTTTCTTCTTTTCACCTTCCCCTTGGACTCTTTCATCTCCTTCCCTGTTCATCTTTCCCTCAATTCTATGACCTTTGACTTTTCTTTTTAAACTGTCTGGCATTATTTGTTTTAAACCCAGAGATGTGATACCTAGGCCACTAAAAACATGGAAAATTTACTACTCCACCCAGACAGGATATCACTGTTAGTTTTCTCTGGAGATTTTGCTAAAACAACCCAAAACCTTCCAGCTAATTATATCATTAACTTACAAAGTAGGAAAATCACACAAGAGCTTGAAAGCAAGCATGCGGAAAGAAGGAAGAAGCCACATGCAAGCTAGGATCACTGAACATAGAAATGCTGAGCACAAAAGGAAAATGCAAATTGGTTAAAAAAAAATTCAAGGGAGGGTCATTTTCCTTTCATTCCTCCTCATGCTGAGAACATTTCTCTTTCAAATACCAGGGTCACCAGAGGTTGAGGATTCACTATAAAGCACATTTTAGCACAATTATATGTCAAATCTTGCTGGAGAACGTGTGCTGGTCATTGTGGGTATCCATATCTTTGAGAAAGAGTAAGTGTTAACAAACAGTGCATGCTGCTGATGCAAGTTAAATGCATCATTATATTGTGATAAGACAATGCAATTAGCACATCTCGATGTACAAAGATTCTCAGGGTGGGTATCCAATTAACTCAGGTCAGTAGGCTCCTTGCCCAGGATAGAAGTTTCAGTCTGTTTCCAAGATGAGTTCATACAGTTTCCTCTCTCCTGAAGTGCACGGAAACTTTTCAAAGAAATAAAGCAATTTTGAGAAGGTCAGAGGAAAACTGATGGCTCAACGTGATTCAGAAAGTCCTGTTCTGGTAGGCTTCTTCTGCTGTGTCATGGAAATAGTTTATAAATTGAGTAGAATGGATAAAATATGCGAACATTTTTCCCATTTTTCCATAAGCATCTCAGTTACTGATTGCATGAATGCTGAGGACATTAGTACTGACTGTATCTCAGAAATATTAGAAGGCATGAAAATCACATTTGATAGAGGTGTGTTCAAAACCAGGATTACCAGAACATCAAAAGCACAGAGAAAGCCAAGCATGAAATGTTCCTAAAACTTTAGCAAGAAGATAAGTTTAGATGTAGGAAGAAAAGTGGTAATGTCATAGACGGATCCATTTTTAATTCACTGGTTATCCTGAATTTAAAAAGTAGCACTAAGCAGAAATATCAAAGCAATCAACATTTATTGATTTGTATCAATTCCTCCAACAGAAACTGGGGACGATTTTTTGTAATTATTTTGCACTTACTGCTTTTCACAACATTTGTCACATCACAACATAATTATTTCTAAAACTGTCCCACAATGACGTAAACTGCTTAGAACAGAAAACAAGTCCAAACTTACCTTTACACCTCTGTCATCTATCAAGTTAGGTCTCAAGGGGAAAAATAATGTTGAAAAATTTATGAACACCATTGTAAGAAATTCCATGATTACTCATGCTACTAGAATATTGGCATTTCATACTTATTTCAAAGGAGGCTATTCTTAAGTTTATAAAATAGGGAAATTAAAAGAATGTCAGAAAAATGCTGACTCTTACATGAGTGGAAAGCTCTGGTTTATCATAATGGAATGCTGCCGGTTGGAAAAGCCATGAAGCAGATTTGAGTATAGCCAGAAAAGTTGGCACAAATTCTGGAAAAAACTCTGGGCTGATAGACTGAATATAGCACTCAAATTCAAACCTAGGTAATTCACTACATTTGGCATTCTTAGTGTAGAAATTACATAATGTATATTTAAATAGGTATAATGCCTGAATCTTTAAACTCTGTCAATGATTGGGACAGAGTGCATGGAATTTTATGTAAGAAGAGGAAGATAGAAAGACCTGGAAGGGATAGGAACTCCAAAAGGAGACCAACAGAGGCAAAAATACTGGGCATTGGGGACTCTGCAGAGACTGATACCCAACCAAGGACAATGCATGGAAAGGACCTGAAACCCCTGCTCAGATATAGCCCATAGACTCCATCTCCAAGTGGGTACCCTAGTAAGGGGAGCAGGGCTGTCTGTGGCATGAACTCTTTGGCAGGCTCTCTGATCACCTCCCCCTGGGGGATACAGCCTTGCCAGGCTACAGAAGAATACAATGCAACCAGTCCTGATGAGATCTGATAGGTTAGGGTCAGATGGAAGGGGAGGAGGACCTCCCCTATCAGTGGACTGGGGGAGGGGCAAGGGAGGAGAAGAAGGAGGGAGGGTGGGATTGGTAGGAGAGGAAGGAGGGGCCACAGCTGGGATACAAAGTGAATTAATTGTAATAAATAATAAATAAAAATAAAATTAACAAAGTAAAGAAATAGGCCTCTCCATCTTTAACGTAGGCTTGGTCCTGAAAAAGCTTAGATATTAGAAAAACAGGATTTCTCAATGGCAAAAACATTATGCAGAAACTGATGCCAGCAGCATGGAATAGGAGCTGCCAAATACATCACAGGTCCAACATAGAGGTTTAAATATAATGCAGGTTTGACTTGAATTTTGGGAGATTTAATCCTGTGTTACAGAAGCTCTTTCTCATCCCGTGGGTCACAAGCCACTGGGGCTGTTGAGTGGCCTATTTGCAGGGGTCACCTAAGAACATGGGAAAACACAATTTTTTTACATTATCATAACAGTAGCAAAATTACAGTTATAAAGTAGCATAACTTGCTGTAGTAAAGGGTCTCAGTGTTTTAAAAGCCACTGCCTTAGATTAATTCAGTTTTCCTTTCACACGTGAGGAGAGTGGGAATAGAAGGTGAGAGGGCAAGGAGACAAAAGAGAAACCAAGGGAGAGAGAGGACATCTCTGAGACAAGATGATGACCTAGGGCACAAGCTCCTGGGAGGATATGGGAGTGACTGTAGCTGAGGCTCCTAGCTGAGGAGGACATGGAGCCAATTCTTAGCCAGGTAGGACTTCCAGTGGAGGGAGGAGGACACCAACACATACATAAAACCTTTGAACCAAAATCTACCCGGCCTAAACGATGTACATGGATACAGATTGAGCAAAGAAAGAGAGAACGGCCAACCAATGGCTGGCCGAACCTGAGACCATTCCTGTAGGTGAAAGCCAACCCCTGACACTATTAATGATACTCTGCTGTGCTTGCAGAAAGGTGACAGCATGGCTGTCCTCTGAGACCTTCCACCCAGCAGGGGAAAGTAACAAATGCTGAAACTCACAGCCAAACATTAGGGGAGTATGGTGGAGGAGTGTAAGGAAGGATAGAAGGTCCTAGAGGGGAAAAAACCCTCAAGAAGACAAATAGTGTCAACAAACCTAGGCCTATAAGGGCTTACAGAGACTGAAGCACCAACTAAAGAGCATGTATGATGGAGGAAATAATGGAGAGGAAGAATTTAGGGAAGAAAACAGGAACTACAGAGGTAAGCATAACCAACAGAATACAAGAAATGGAAGAAAGAATCTCAGGTGTAGAAGATACAATGGAAGAATTCGATGTATCTATCAAAGAAAATGTTAAATCCAAAAAATTCCTGACACAGACCGTCCAAGAAATCCAAGACAATATGAAAAGACAAAACCTAAGAATAATAGGAATAGAGGAAAAAGAAGACTCCCTTCTCCAAGGCCCAGAAAATATTTTCAACAAAATCATTGAAGAAAATTTCTCCAAGTTAAAGTAGAAGCCAATAAGGATACATGAGCCCTACAGAACACCCAAAAAATTTGACCAGAAAAGAAAATCCTCCCGCCACATAATAATCAAAACAGTAAGTATACAGAACAAAGAAAAAATACTAAAAGCTGCAAGGGAAAAAGGCCAAGTAACATATAACGGCAAACCCATTAGAATCACACCTGACTTTTCAACAGAAACTATGAAAGCCAGAAGGGCCTGGACAGATATCATGCAGACCCTAAGAGAACACAGATGTCAGCCCAGGCTACTATACCCTGCAAAACTCTCAGTCCTCATAGACTGAGAAAACAAGATATTCAATGACAAAAACAAATTTCAACAATACCTACACACAAACCCAGCATTACAGAAGACACTGGAAGGGAAAATACAACCCAAGAAAATTAGCTTCTGTCAAGAAAACACAGGAAATAATTAACCTTACTACAGCAAAACAAAAAGCAACCAAGCACACAACCGTATGAACACAGCCAACATCAAATTCAAAGGATCTAACAGCCACTGGTCATTAATCTCTCTCAACATCAATGGACTCAACTCTCCAGTAAAAAGACACAGATTAACAGAATGGATACATAAACAAAACCCAGCAATCTGTTCCATACAAGAAACACACCTAAGACACAAAGATAGACATTACCTGAGGGTAAAAGGTTGGAAGACAACTTTCCAAGTAAATGGACCCAAGAAACAAGCAGGAGTAGCCATTCTAATATCTGATAAAATAGACTTTCAACCAAAATTAATAAAAAGAGATGAGGAAGGAGACTTCATACTCATCAAGGGAAAATTCCACCAGGAAGACATCACAATCCTGAACATCTATGCCCCAAATACAAGAGCACCCACATTTGTAAAAGAAACATTGATAAAATTTAAACCACATATACATCCCCACACATTAATAGTGGGAGACTTCAACACCCCACTCTCAACAAAGGACAGGTCAACAAAACAGAAATTAAACAAAGAAACAATATCTCTGACAGAGGTCATGAATCAAATGGACCTCACAGACATTTACAGAACTTTACACCCAAACAGAAAATAATTTACCTTCTTCTCAGCACCCCATGGAACTTTCTCCAAAATAGACCATATAGTTGGTCACAAAGCAAGCCTCAACAGATACAAG